GTTTGCTATACCCCACTTGCCAGCGCCATTGTGGATACTCCAGAAGCTTCCTTAATTGCGTGTACTGGCGGAAAAGACTCTCCTTTTACCAAAGCGATATACAAAAATTATGGAGACTCTTCACGACATGCTCCTCTTTTATCCTCGTCAACTCTAGACACTATAGACAGCATTCAGGCAAGGAACATTTTCCCTCAGGATCTTCCTGTGTATCAGAGAGCTGCCGTAACTGCCCGCACCAATGGAGTTGTCTATCCTTTTTGGAGGGATTGGGCATTAGCAGAGCCTTGCGAATTCCTTACGCCTGAACCTCTACATCATTGGCATAAGATGTTTTGGGATCACGACGCAAAATGGGCTATCCAAGCTGTTGGGGCTAGTCATATCGACTTCAGGTTTTCAATTCATCAGCCAACTGTGGGATATCATCATTTCCAAGAAGGCATCTCTAGTTTTAAGCAGGTCACTGGACGTACTCATCGAGACATCCAGAGATACCTGATTCCCGTCATATCTGGAGCTATTTCTGCCAAGTTCGTTATGTCTCTACGTGCTCTCCTAGATTTCTGCTATTCAGGCCGAGCCCAGCGTTTTAGCCAAACTTCTTCCCTCCGAGTCCAGACTGCTTTGAAGGAGTTTCATGAGAGAGCAAGTCGGTGATCTTAGAGCTAAAGGCGAGGGTCAATCCTAAAGGTAAACTGATAGACCATTGGGAGATACCAAAACTCGAATTCATGCAAAGTGTGGAGCCCAGCATTTGTGCTTCAGGTCCTATCATGCAGTGGACTGCCGACATCATGGAGCATGCTCATATCACTCTAGTGAAGGATCCAGCCCGATCTGGCAACAATCATAACTTTGAAATTCAGATTTGTCGAAGTCTGGATCGTCTCGACCGCGTTAGAAGGTTTGATTTGATGACTGCAATGAAGGATGCTAGCGTAGACTTCCGTCTAGAAGATGTTGAAGGAGATGAAGGTCAAGAACAGGGAGCTGAAGGGTTACAAGTAGACAAAGAAGAAGATATGGAATTGGAAATCACAAAAATATCATCGACAGAAAAGCTAGTCACCCATCTTAATCCTGTTTCAAAAAAGTTATTTGGATCTTTTCGGCCTAAACAGAACTTTTTCCTAAAAGCTCGTTTGCTTGAAAGAGCACCCTCAGCACCCCTTCCTCATCGTTCTTTCGTCGATAACGTCACAGGAGAAATCTCAGCCTTTAGCCTAGTCCGTGATCCAGACCTAAAGACACAAACAATAAAAGAAGCGAGCAGGCTCTATTCTCTGTCAGATTTTCATGGGGCTTGTTCAGACTTAATTGACTGCATAAAGTCAGGAACGAAGATTTTCACTATAGGAGGTAGAAAGAACTGGAAATACTCAGTCACCTTTGCCCTTCTACCGGGTCAAGCTTTGGTCCAGGTTGCGAATCCAAAGCAGAACATATTTTAATCTAGATTTGCTTACGGATCCTCACACCATATTCTCAGCACCTCCAGGGCCTGGCTGGGAGTTTGGTTGCCAAAACGCAGTTATCGTTAATGTAGATCAAAGCTTTCAGTGGCCAAGAAGCTCTTTGGAAGGTGAGTTCTCCTTTCATTACTTCCTTTCATTGCTTTTGAGTTATTATATTCGTTAGGTCATGCCATAGTTCTAGTCAAAATGATTTTTACTGTGGCTCAGCCAAGAAGACCTTTGTTACCCATTGAAGGAACTCATTGTTTTTTTTAGCTTATTGCGAACGCTTAGATATAGTGAATCAACCACCCCCTCCACTGTAGTATCAACATCTTCCCTGGCTATAGGGCTTGTCCTTTTTGCTATCCAGATTATTCCACAGGATGTTACATTCTTAAGAGAGCTCGGAGAGCAGATGGGACTCCTATGGGAGATATTATTCCTGTTTCACAATTCCGTTCTTTTGCAGATATTTGTCCTCTCTATCGAGGAAATCCTCACCCTTCTTTATTGAAAAGTACAAGTCAGTATCACAGCGATGAATTTTTGCTAAACAAATACATCAATAAAGAAACATTTTTTTTGCTTTGGATAAAGTAGACTTTTGTGTTAACTAACAACCGTACTACTCAATCTTTGATGTTTTCTTGTAATTGTTGTTTCGACAGATGAACTGTATGTACTATTAATATATCTTGAACAGTCAAAAAGCAGCTAGAGCAGCTCCAGCAATTCCCAGCAGCCCAAGCACTCGACAGATGTGTCACTTTTTTTACTACTATTAATATCTCAAACAATCTGAAAGCAGCTAGAGCAGCTCCAGCAATTCCCAGCAGCCCGAGCACTCGACAGATGTGTCAAATTTGATCTTGCTCTGGGAAACACTGGGGGGAAATCCATCAAAAAACCAGGATTTGCAGATGTGGACTCTGCTTGGGGGCCTTGGCTAACAACCACCACCACTACTACTGTTCTTCTTACCCAGCCTAGTTGTCTGTGTGGGACGGAAGCAAAGTGCATTGAGCTTGGTGGAGGGAATAGGTATGTTATTATGGCTACTTGGAATATGGTGGACGGGGGATGAAATACCTTTTTACTCAAACTCACTGAAGCCAATCACTATATCGGCTATTGATATTCAATAAAATATTGATCACAGGAAATGCACCAATATCCGTGGTCGGTCGCGTTTACGAGACGTTGATCACCGGTCGTGTGAACGATGTCCCGAGTTACGTCGGGTCACACCGTGACGCGTTTAGTATCAGATTTCCATAATGACATCATCCTCACCAACTCCAACTCCAACTCCAACTGCATCCCCCCGCTCATCGTCGTCATCGGTCAAGACCAAGACCCAAGGAATGACGCGATGACGTAGACTATGGGTATATAGAGACGGACTGTAATCCAATCAACGTCAACGATGAGTTTAACAAACAGCGTACCCCCAACCGCGTCAGGTGATGTTAACAACTCCGCCTCCTCCTCCTCGAGCTACCCCGAACAACACCACGCAGGGGCAGTCGGCTACGGGCCGAACTACCGTCAAGGAGCTTCCTTGGGCGATAAACTGACGGGTCTCAAAGAAGAATTGAAAGGCAAAGTGACGAAAAACCCGGGGTTGGTGGAGCATGGCAGGGAGATGAAGAGCGGGGAGTTGAAGAAGAAGGAAGAGGAAGAGGATGTGAGTTTTTAATGGTATTCTGCTGTTACCTCGTTTATGGACTGTTTCTATAGATGAATAATCTTGATCCGTTTGGAACTGCGGATGACGACGAGGATTCTTCCACCAACCCCAACGACTCTCAACGCCCGACACACACCAACTCCAACACCAATGTCGGGTCTAGTGCCAAACCCGACGGCGTTACTGCTGCCGCTACCACGACCGAAAACAGAAGCGGGCTAGCGAAACCCCGCGATGTCAAATACATCGACGAGGATCGAAGTGGCGAGCACCACCACCACCACCCACCACGATGGTAGCAGTAATGCTGTAGCCAGTGAACCAGGTCAGATCGCTAGAGATTCTGTTCATGTCTAAGATGGGAAGGGAATGATTCTTCAATGTTATTCATCCTTGTATTGTATTTACTCTCCCGTCCACTGGATATCGGAAGACTAGTAAACGGATTCTAGAACGTAAAACGTAATTCTACCATGTACAGTATACATATTCTTCGAACAACCAATCCATTCCCAATGACCTTTGTTATGTCCACAACACCCCACCATTTCATACGCCCGACTAGCTCAGCTGGTTAGAGCGTCGTGCTAATATAGATGCTGTTTCCTTCATTACGCGAAGGTCTTGGGTTCGATCCCCAAGTTGGCCATACTGACTGTGTTGTTTTTGACACCAAAATTTTTTTTTTTTTTTCTTTTCTTTCTTTCGCCAGCTTAGTACTACCCTTCTGTGAGAAAGCTCAGTTTTCATAGCCATTTCTTGACTTCCCTTCCCTCACCCATCTACATACAGTTCTTCAAGTATTTCAAAAGTTCTCACTCAGCAATACCATATCCGTAATACAACTCAGAATTCCAATTCACATACACACACACACACCCCACCCTCCTCCTCCCCTTCCTCCCCCTTCTAGCCCTCTCTCCCCTGTGAGTTCAGTCTTTATGTGTGGGGGTCCAGTCTTCATGTTTGGTTTTACTCACATCGTGACCCTGGAGCAAAAGTCTCTCATCCAGTCTCTCAGTCTCTCATTCAGATTGCCAAATAAACTTTCTATGCCCAAGGCCCATCTTTTAACTATTAGTACAATTCACTTACACTTGTATTCATATCCCATTGTATATATACTCTTCTTCATATGTAGAGAATCCATTTCTCAATTCAGATAGCCATCTCTGTCATGAAGTACATAGCCCCTATCATTGAGAAGAAGAGGCAAAAGAAGGAGCAAGAAAGAAACAAAAGTCAGGAAAGTGTCATTCTAGTACCCCCGAAACCGCTGGCCCTGCGCGCGCGCATAACAACCTTTGACACCCTCCTTTTTGAACACAATCAACGCATTCCCCCTACTTTTCTTCTCTTCCTCTTCACCAACAAAAACCTCGATCTAATCAACACGCACATGCCCGTGCTAAAACGAGTAAAAATCTCTCACCTCGAGGGTAAACCACATGTTCTTGACCTCAAAGAAATGTGTTAAGATCATGTACACCGTGCAACCATGCCAGAGGCCCACAGAGTGTCTAAGAGCAGGAGGTTGAGTGGGACAGTAGTGAAGTTATTAACAACACCCCTGTTACGCTGTTAGTCCCCGGAGATCAAGAGTAGTGAGGAGAGAGAGACTAGGAGCAGCCAGGTCGAAGCGGCGGTATCGCCGGTGACAAGGAGCGAGCCAAAGAACTTATAAGTCCTAAGGCTAGAGTAGCAAGTACTTCAAGGGCGACGAGCCTGAAGACTTAGAGAGTGGCAGAGAAGAAAAGAAGATCTAAGTTGATCTAAGATGATAATTAAACTGAGGAACTACAGTAGCGTACAGGCAGTATTTATATCTACGGATCGGTGTATTGGTGCGGAGCGTCAGACTAACTACTAGGAGCTATACGTGTAGTACCTGCAGGGTAAAGTAAAAGACAATAAGGAGGAACTAGGAGGAAAGGGTATGTGTAGCGAGAAAGAACAATAAGAAGGAGATTACAATAAACGGTAGATCTCAGAATACCGAGCGGCGGAATGGGGCACCGAGGCATGGACTTGACACACTCCCAGTGTGCACTACATGCCAATACTCAGCTCCGGACCTCGGAGCTATCCCGGGCCATTTCCGGCCCATATCCGACCTCCTCTATAGTTATTGACCTGTAGGCACGGTCTTGTCAGCCAAGCACTACCAAGCACCTCAGCAGAACATATCGAACTTTATGAATGAATTGTCACACCATACAATGCTAATGCCTTCAAACACGAACTCAAAACAAACAATCTCCTTGATCGACATCCACTCCTGGTAAACATCCTTTGCAATGGCACTCTGCTGGGAGAAATGCCTCGGCTCACCAAATCAGTTATTATTCCCAACCACACATCAGTCGCCAAATTCCCTCAGGTGGTTAAGGACTACCTCGCAGAAGAAAAATCCAAAGGCCGAATGTCTGGCCCTTTCTCACTAACAGAAATTGAGTCCATCATGCGCGGCCCCATCATGTCATCTCCTCTAATCGTTGCTGAGCAGATCCAGGCACCTGGAATACCAACGAAATATCGAGTCTGCCATCACCTTTCCAAGGATGGTAAAGACAAAGATAGATTCCCATCTGTTAACTCTTTCATTGCAAAAGACCTATTTCCAACATCTTTTGATACTGCCTCAAAAGTTGCAGAACTGGTAAGTCCGATTCTCCTCTATATTTCTCACCTAACACTTCCCAATTCCATTCCGATATTGATATTCCAATATTCATTCCATATATTCCATGATTACTTCCTCATATACATAATTCCATATAATGAAATCCTGGTTCCAACCAAAACATCACAGATCTCATCGGCCCCTCTGGGAACACAAGCATGTACAATTGACATTGCGAAATTCCATAGGATGATACCACTCATTCCCCACCACAAACCATTTCTGGTAGCGCAAGACCCGGATGGTGGCTTCTGGATAGACCACTGCTATTGCTTCGGGGCAGCATCAGCAAGCAGCAGTGCAGGTATGGTATCGGGTGCCATAATCGATATATGGCGAAAGAAGAAGATAGGACCAAGACCAAAATACGAAGACGATCTCCTTGCCATCCACTCACCAAACACTGCTGGCACATACGACTACAATTGCAACAGCATGCTGAAATCCATTGCCCCACTCAACATCCCTTTCCACCCACCTGAAACCAAAGGCGACTGAGAATTCACCTTCAAAACCACATACACAGGATTCCATTGGAATCTTCTTTTGAAGTGGGTCAGCCTACCGGATGAAAAACCACTGAAATATCTGAACCGTGTACAAAAATTCTCAGATAAATTCCACAAATGTAAAGCTCCTCTTGTCAGAGTTGAATCCATTCACAGAACCCTCTGCCACATTGCCTTTATATATGCCAACGGTCGATCTCACCTACCCCCAATCTCAAACTTCATGGCCTCATATTGCACGGAGCGCAAAGAATACGATGGACAATATCCACCAAGCAGTGTCTTCACGGAATTAAATTGGTGGCATGACATCCTCTGCATACCAGACTTCTATCGTGAATTACGACCCAGAGGACCATTGCTGGATCTGGGTATCTATGTTGATGCTTCTACAGACTGGGGAATCGGCATCCTCCTCGGAGACTCCTGGATGGCTTTCTGCTTGGCCAACAACTGGAAAATACCTGGTCATGATATCTGCTAGCTCGAAACTGTTGCTATTGAATTGCTCACATACATCCTTGAAGCCAAAGGCTTCCACGAAGAAAAGCATGCAGTTCCAATTATTGGATAAATATGTCTGTCCGCCGTACGTGCGGCATTTTAGGCCCACTCTTTATACAAACTGAACTCGAATATGTTGAATCTGCTTTGAACCCGGCTGATCCAATTTCGCGCAGAATATTGGGACCGGAGGATAAGAAACTACCTCTTTTATTCCAGCTCCCAGATAAGCTCAGTAATGTTATTACTTATGTTTAGGTGATTCACATTCCCGCAGATAAGACAAATACTCATTAACTTACATCGCACAGTCCTTTTGACAGAATACCAGCGCCAGTCAGCTCTGGTGTGAGAACTGTTGCTCCGTGCACCTCGAGTTCTCGAATCACTTCTCATACCTTTCTTGATGACCCATTTACTACACAATTGATAACCGACCCCAAGTAAATACAATAATAATAATAAACCATCAATTCACAATCCTTTCTCTGACCCTTTTGTAACACCCACCACCTCGAGTCCACAACAATTGCAACAACTGAAACAACTGCCTTTCAAACTCACCAACCAAAAGCCCAAGAAGGGATGTGAACTCGCTCTGAATCCACTACGACCAAATGTACAAGCTGCTGATCGCATCCATGCATGGAACACACCATACTCAATACAGAAGAGACTCGAAGAAGCATCCTCCCTACCAGCAAAAGTTATCGAACTAGGCGACATGATCATGGCAAAAGGCACCGTAAAACCAACAAAGGAAGTCTACGCTGTGGGCCTACTTCGCTACAACCAATTCGGAGATTTGATGGGCATTAGTGAGAGCCACCGCATGCCAGCATCAGACAGACTTATTATTGGTTTCATTGGACACTACACAGGAAAAGTCTCAGGAAAATACATTTCAAACTGGTTATCTGGTCTAAGATTATGGCATGAGATGATGGGAGCCCCCTGGCCAGCAGACTCGCGCAGAATCCAACAAGCTAGACGGGGAGCTAATGTCGAAGGCTCTCATCACAAACGACCCCCATGACACCCCATCACCATCGAGCATATGAAAGCCCTGCACCAAGAACTCAACTTTTCCATCCCATTCCACTGCACCATCTGGGCCCTCGCTTGCACTGCATTCTTTGCATGTTGACGGCTAGGCGAATGAACAGTCCCATTGCAAAACACCTTTGACCCGAAGTTTCACATTATCCGAGATTCTAAAGCTATAACTTTCAATTCTGAACCGACCTCGGTCCATTTCCATATCCCATGGACAAAAACCACGAAAGAAGAAGGAGCACTGGCAGTAGCTACCAGCCCCATCGGAGATAATACAGAGTTCCTATGCCCTTCAAAAGCCATACGGAAACACCTTTTGAAGAACGCAGTGCCAGAAGACTTCTCATTGTTTGGTTATATTGACGATAAAGGAAAGCCACAACATATGGTGAAAAAAGTATTCCTAGACTTCTGCTTTGACATATGGAACCAAGCTGCGCTCCAAGCAGTCTTCGGCCACAGCTTTAGAATTGGAGGAGCAGTCTGGCTACTTTTAGCAGGGGTACCCCCAGAGATTGTGGCAGCCAATGGAGGATAGACATCACTAGCCTCCCTATTATACTGGAGAAAACTTGAAAGCATACTCCCAGATCATATAGCAAAGGCCTATGAAAAATCCCAGTGGAACACACTTTGAGACAAAGTCAACTCATTCCGTAAAGTCAATAAGATATCCAAAAAGTTTATTGAAGCATGTGTAACAGGTAATGATATAGAAATAGAGTTTTAATACATTACGAGCCTCGCTCTACTTGGGGGTTTCAGCTCCCTCCATAAATGTCGAGACCCGAGAAGGAGCTACGGCTCTGTCTGGGATGTTCAGGCCTCTCCATCCACGGGTGGGAGCGCGGGGCCAAGCCCCAGCCAAACCACAGATCAGACTTATAGAATTGGGGA